GTGCTTGCAGTATAAAAGGCAAGCCGTTTTAACAGTTAACTGTCTTGTTAGAGCAACCACCTTGCTGATTGCTATATTGTTTCAGCTGTTCCTGCAGCCGCCTAGCCGGCTTTCATTTAATACATTGTTGCGAGTTTTGTTACACTCCTTCAGCTACTGAATAAAGGTTACAGTGTTTTAAAGGACCTGCTTGGTTTTTTCAGTTATAATAAAGACCTCCTCCAAGACAGGACTGAACACAGGAAACCTTTACCTTTATTTTTCATAGCATAACTACCAATAGCTCAGATTGGAATTTAAGATCCAAAACAGTAAATAGGGTTTCCCATTTTAATGTTATTTATAGCTAAGAAACATCGTAACAAGAAGTGTACAATTTTTTATATGTAAATCGCCCAAAGTCACTTTATGTAAGATGGACAGTATAGAAATTTGATAAATATATAAATAATAAATGAAATAACAAAAAGGAAAATTGCCACTTTTCCTCTTGCAAATTATCACCTATCAATAATTCTCTATCTTTCTAGAGAATGAAAAAGGCTGAATTGTCATTTTTACTTCTTGAAAATCACAAATGATTATGCAGCTTAAAAACAACTGCTAATATGATTACTCAAAGAGCAATTTATAGAGGGCCTCAGACCATTATTTCCTGTCCTGGACTATGAAATCCGTACTGCCTCATTCTCTTCACCAGCTTTGTACCAGTAAAATCCTTCCCTAAAAATAATAGATGCATAGTGTGACTTCTGTACTTTTAGAGTCTGAATATTTCTTAGAAGCAATTAAGCAGTCACTCAGACTATTGATGTTTTCAGTATAGAGACCCATAAAGTGACATTAAAACATAGACTATTTTTATATCTGCTTATAGGAATGTTTTGCTACTCAATTTCTCCTAGTTTTCTTTGCCTTTAATAAAACACACACTGATTAGAAATTTTACATAAAATAGCACTGTGACCACATTAGGAAAGAATCAGTACAAAAACGGAGAACTATTTTGGGATTCTTTCATTCAAATGTACTTCAGCCTTCTCTGCCTATAATTATATTATGACTATTGCTTCAGTTGAAGTCACAGTTCAGCAATATAGTGGAATATGAAAGGGCGCATTCATTGTGAGATTTAAAAAAAGGAATGTGCACAATTTAGGTCACTTATAAGTTTAGTGCTTATTAGGAAGTTCCTGTTTAAAATTATGGTTCATAGTATTCTATGACTATTATAGAAACTTCAGACATTGTATATTCATGGTTGCTTTTTAAAATAAAAAATAAAAGTATAAAGGCAGTGAAAAAAACCAAGATTTTCATTATATTCTTGACTTTGTCAAATCACTGTTTGAAGTAGAGTTGCAATGTATTATTACAATTAAGCTTAGCACACAAATCGCTAGGTATAGTTGTTTGGCAATCTCTGTAAAGAGCACTGGCTTATTCTGCACTTTTGCAAAAATCTCACATCTGATAGAGACTACACAGCTAAAATATTAGATGACATATATGCCCTGGCAGTAATATCTGGCCCATACAGTACTTTTCTAGCTAAAGAAATTAAACTCCAAGCATGTTTTGCATCCAGACTCTTAATGTAATCCGATAACTCCATGTTCTCCTGACCAATTTTATTTTCTGATAATAGATGGATTTTTATATTTGATAAGGATAAAATAGATCACCCACCCACTCAACATTATAATCATAGTGTGACATTTGATAAATTAAGAAAATGAATTTAGTTGAATTTCTGAAATGTTGGTTACTCAAGGAATTTATATTGTGAATTGACTGGGCAGTAGATACAGGCAATCTGAATCCTTCCAGATGTTTTGGACAGTAACTCCCACAGCTTCTTGCCATATGATATGGTCACTGAGGTTAAATAGAATCAGTCAAAAAATCTGGAAGGCATCAAGATTTACATCAACTTCTGCTGTTGAGTATTTAATAACATTTATTTCTTGATGCTACTGAAGGATAAAAGCTTGCTCTAAGAGAGAATGTTCTATTTTTCCAATGCAGTGAGTAAATTAATTACCTTGTACAAATTCCAATTTTCTGCTTATGGTAGGCAAAGTCCGATTCAGCCTTAGGATCCTGTCCAAATGGAAAGCGAACACTTCACTCATTTCAAGCGGTCTCTTGATGATGCCACAATGACCTTGACTGCATAGGTCTTCTTTGACTGACTTATTATCAAGTTCTGTTCTCCCGAATACTAGAAGTACTCCATGTTGGGAAGGCACTTCTTGAATACTGTTTATTTTGGAATCTGCCATAAAACGCATACTTAGGATGTCCTCTTTACTCAACCAAGAAGGTGGACTCTCGCTGTACATCCTGATATTGCTCTCCTGAACATTAGTCTGAACATTTAGGCCTCTTATCATTTCAGGTCTCCAATGCTTTATATTTTGAGCCATTTGTTTTTCTTTCTGCTGTTGTTTCTGCCTAGCTTTCTCTGGAACTTCTGCTCCTTTCCTCTTGTTCCTAGATGTACCATGAAATGGCTTAGGTTGGATTATGCCATCTAGTGAGTTCTTATTCCCATACTGCAAAGGTAATACTTGCTTCTTTCTTTGCTTGGGCCTCACAGTGCCTCGAATTTTGGCAGGTTTCCTTCTCTTGGATCGCAAAGTGATGTATACCACATTAGGCAACATTGATGTGTTATCTGTCCCCATTTTAGATTTTTCAAGGTCAGAAAATGACCAGGTGCCATCCATCGGGATTTCAGAAAAACGAGGTTGAGCAACATCTTGAAGATTCCAAGAGTTTGCTTTTGATAGTCCTTTCCTATATTGCGGTACAACACGACCTACTTGACTGACAAGGAAGCCCAAATATATCACAAAAGCAGTGCCCAGCAGCAGATTCCTTCTGGTCCTTGAGCACTTGCCACTCCAGAGAAACCGAGGTGAGCAGAGAGAACAAAAGAGCCTGTTGATAATTTGGCATGTCTGAACCAGGAAGCTCATTTCTCCAGTGAATCAACATGATGGAAATAGTTTAAGAATCCACTGGCCGCCAGCTAGGATACTGCTGCATGCCTTCTGAATGACCAGATGTCTCCACCTCTTTTTCCAGCTGTTGTGTGTACATGTCTCTATGCATATACACATTGAAAATGCCAAAGAATTGTAAATGTTCAGGTTTAATGAATCTGACAGCGTAACCTGACAAGCTGTTAAAATCTTTCAGCCACCTCAAAGGGTGTGATTGAGTTCAGTGAATGAATGGAGTTGGCTGTATAAACAGAGTTAACTGAGTCACAGTATGAAAAGTCTGGGAGTCCCTTCTGGACTGCTGAACTGTTAGAGGGAAAAGAATGATAAATATCATTTTAAAGTCATCATTACCCACATGGTTATTTTTAAACCATGTATATCTCTTCATTTAAAGACTACAGCTAGTAAGTACATCGCCAAAAGGAAGAAAAAGTTGGAACTTCATGTTATATATGTCAAATTAATATAAAACTATAACAGTAATCCTGAAACACAATCTGAAATGAATTTATATTTCAAAATTCAGAAAACATTCAGAAAAAGGCTTTTTTTTTTACAAATTGATAGTTGGTATATCTTTTTTCCATGCTAGTGACAAGGAAGATATATAGAAATCACTCTACCTATTGTGTCTAGTTAACATGGAAATATATTTCATTAATCAGTGAAGGACAATGCAGGAAAATTAACTTTATTTAGCTAAAAGAGAACATACTAGTCAGGGGTTTACATCCATTTAGGCATTCATTTTTTTATAAAGCAAAAATTCTTCCTTTTTTCAATGGCTAGATGTTTTCAATACAACACTATTACATTATACATATATAAACAATTGCACGAGTAAATTATGTACATGTGCATATTCTATTGTAAATGCCTCCTCCAAAGTCTAAAAATACTATTATACTGATGTGTTCACATAGCATATCTGTAAAAGAAATGTATATATCTTACAAATGAACGTATTTTTTCTGATGCTACAAAAACTTAGCATGCGAAACAACAGATCTTTTACTTATAGTAACTGTCTTATTAAAATAACATTTAGAATAATCTTACCGATACAGTTGGCCCAAAACTTTGCTCAAAAATTTCTAGCAGTAATAAATACAAGCAAAACCTTTAGGAAAGAAGTCCATTTTTTTCCAAGGAAAAAATATCCACCAACTGGACAATTTATTAAAATTGAATAAAATATTAAAAAATAATAAACAAGTTTTTGATGTTTTCAACGTGTTTTTTCCCCCAAAATCCTGATGTATGCAGTTCATTTATCAAGACAGTGCTGTTTGAGGAAGATCAGTCCAGATCCATATTCCTTCTACATGTTCTGATCATCCCAAATGGGTGTTCCTATTTGACTGCTACAAAGTTATATGAACTTTTCATTTCTTTTAAGCTATTTTAATTTCTGGAATGGAAAAGCCCACCCTGGTGTCTTGCTTCTAAAACAGAACTCTATATCTATATAAGTTTTGAGGGCCCCCTAGTGAACAAAACTCAGAATGGTTTAACACCATCATCTTCACTACAAAAGGGAAAAAAATCTAATATATTATTACAATTTGTGGCTGCAAAATTAAGCATATTTCTTGAGACACATCAGATTAACTTTAATGACTTGATTGTACAACAGTGACCCAAACTACTTACAGTTTTAAAATTGCAAATGGAGGGAAGCAGTAGAGGAGAGGTACAGAACAAGAAAACAATGTTGTGTTTAATTAAATGAGAGATAAATAATTGGGGGAGGCAAAGGGCAAATGGGAATTTTGAAAGGAAAAGAAAGCCAGGGGAAATTTTACCTGACCATAATATTTCTACTCTGCCAAATGTAGCTATTCACAAGGCAGTCATTTATCAGGATTAAAAGTGATGAGAGTCTTCAAGATCTTCTGTTTGTCCACCTCCCAATAAACTATCTCTCTTTTTTTTTCCCTGTAGACATTTTTAACAAGATTTAACAAATATCTTTGGACTGCAGCCATGTATCATTTCCCCCCCCCCCTCCAAACTTATTCTTGTAAACAAAATTGATGCTGAAAGCACAAATCCCAGTAAATTTCCATAGAATATCAAGGCCAATGGGCAAACTTAGTGGGATAATGGCATTCCAAGCATAATGGTGAACACAGAGACATACGGTACAGTTTTGATAGAGTTTCCTGTATTGCACAGAAAATGGAGAAAATGTATATAACTTCTCTATCGAGTGTGTCTGTGGACCATATGCTATAACTGTAGTACCAAAATTACCCTTTTGTTAGAGATGTATTAAGGAGAATACTTCTTTAAAGCACATGTTTTTACAATTTCCCTTATACTTACTAAATTTTGCAAGAAAGCAGTAATTATATAAATATGACTTACAACAAAAATTAAAATTTTCAGAGGATAATATTCTCTCGAATCACATACCTATTACATATTTGACACCTGGACACCCTAAATTGATTCTCTGTGCCCTCACTATGCCATAAGACTAATACTACAGCATTAGAAAGATAGATGTATGGCATTACTCACTGAATAGATTGATGACCTGATTTCACTTACCACCTATGAGCAGATTGCTTATAGATGTAGATTTTGGACAAGAATAATGAAATATGGAATTCATTTATACAAAATATAGTAAGTTGAAAATGAATGTTAGTCATACAAAAGTATTTGAAATAAATATGTATTTGAATATTTACATTAGATAAGGAGGGAGAGGAGGAGGCAGCACACACATATTATCCAGACCATTCTACCCACATCCCCTGCATGCTCCACTGATCTATACTGCCCCCATACACCTTCCTTAATCCTGTCACCCCCTTCATGCCCCTTATGACTTGTGAAGCACCTCCTGTGAACCCACAGGTATCTTCTCAACCTACATTGTCCACCCATACACCTGCAAGGCATCTCTGGCATATATCCTCCACCTTTCCCAACCTATATATTATATATAACTACTGTAATCCAGAAAAGGCTTGGGTTTAAGAAGGGTAGAGAGAAGATGGTTATGCCAGATCCAAAACACCTCTATTCACTTGGGATCAAAATAATAGATACTACTGGTTCCCAATATTTAAGTGAAACAGAATCACAGACTCATTGTTCTTGTGCAACATATGCCAATGTGTGACCCAACAAAGGGCGAATGACAAAACCGTGCCCGACTAAACCGCGTCGCTAAAACCGCAACGTCATCAGCGCGGTGACAACAGCGTGGAGACAGAAGGGCGCTTTACAACAGCTCGTCGGCAGAAAGCCGATTTAACTTAAGGTAAGGGTTAGGTTTAGGGTTAGGGTTAGGTTTAGGGTTAGGTTTAGGGTTAGGTTTAGGGTTAGGTTTAGG